AGAGGCGCTTAATGGTGAGAAGTTGGCCTCAAGAGAGGCCTGTGAAAATTGGCTCTCCGAGTTTTTTGGCAATAGGAACGCAGTCTTCTACGAGAGGGGTATAGTGAAATTGACATCTCGTTGGCAACAAGTTTACGAACAAAACGGCGCATATTTGACTTAAATCGGACAAATGTACACAAAGTTATCATCTTTTGAAAAATCAATAAAAAAACCGAACGAACTTTTTACTTTACCTAATATATATAACTCTATATCTAACTCGATTAGTTTTAGGTGATACAAACAACCGTTAGGTGAACAAAACTATTATATTATGTAGCAACAAGGTGCGAGAGTATAAAAAGAACGTGTATGGCAAAACAACGTTTGTCGGCTAGTATGATTAGTAAAATAACAAATTTAACATGTGCTATGTTATGTTGATTTGCGCTCATATACTACACTTCATATCTACAAAAATGTCATCAATCATTTTGAAGTTTACGGCTATAACGTTTCCGTTTGTATTTGTACTGTGCTGACTATAATATAAAACTCGGATTATTATGTAAACGAAAGAATCTGAACTTGAATTTTGTTTGAGGAAATATAAAATTTTATATGTTAAGGATTGCATACACTTTTAACAAAAAAGTAATGATGTGTCCATCCTCTGATAATAAGCTACTTCCCCACCAATAGCCACATCTGTGAAGTTATGTTAATGCTTCTTCATCCAAATACAACATCGTTAATTCAGCCGCTGGATCAGATGATCATTGCTGCATATAAAAGTTATTATGTGAAGAATTCATTTTAATTATAATATACGAAAGTTGATAAGTATTAAGAAATAAAAGAAAGTTAAGTTTATAATAAAGAACTACAAAGACCGCATTACTTCCTCTGTAAGAGAAATTAATAAAAACCACTTTAAATAGGCGATAGGAAAGCCTTTTCGAAAAGCTTGAATATATGAATGAGATATTATCTGCATATGCTACTTTTTTCCAAGTTTCCCACACATTCGCAGGAAAAGGATTCCACTACATAAACAATGAAGATATCCATGAACTTTTCGAAAATGTTGTTATTTCTGACGATGAGAATTTGCAAAGTTTTGATGAAAACGATGGTAATGACAACAAATAGAATTAGAAAAGGTAAGAACATTCCAGCGTTACTGGTCTTAATGAGACCCTGATCTAAAATTGGTTAAAAATGGGTCGAAAATTATTTTCTGAATTTGGGCTCAATCACAGAACGGAACTGTATAAAAAAGTAAAGTAACATATTTACTATTAACATTCTCAAAATATTTTTAATTTTTTCCTTTTAAAAGTAATACTTGTACATACATATAGAATACCATGACAATAAATAGATACGAATAAATATATTTACATGCAAAAGAATATATATTTGACACGTTTTCCTGTTTTTGGATGGATTCTTTTCTTAATTGATCCTAATAGTGTGCTTTATATGAAAATTTTATTTTTTTGCACAGTTTTTTAACACGATAGGAAGTTTGAATAGTAACAGTTACTTTACATACTTAAAATAACTCATTCCTTCGAATTTTGTGCAAGTTTTTGTTAAAAATAACGTGGATTTTACGATTCCAGTTAACCGTGCAAAAGTAGATCAAGTATATATTTTAACAAAAAACAGCAAATATCATCAACTTCAATGTTTAGCGAGAATTCAATTGCGGTATGACAAAGTAAATTATGATTTTTGGACCCTCCAGTTGAAATTGGTAACACATTTCTTTCACTGATACTTATATGCTTTCAATAAAAAAATCATATTAAAAGGGAAATTGTTTGATCAGGTATTGTACCAACCTTAAGTAAGGGTTGATGGATTCAACTCCAGCACTTAAATATTTATTTAAAACCGATACAAATACCGAAGCCATGTGTAACAAGACAACGCTTTGAGGAACTTCAAATGATTTTTTTTCTTGTGAAGTACAGTCGATACACTTAAGTTCTGAATATATCATTATTATTTATTCTTTTTCAAGAACGAACTGGGTGAATCCAATTTTCGAGACCTTTTTCTACTAAATCCAGTCGTATGTCATGAATTGCATGTTCAATATTGACAAAGACCAATGACTTCAAATAACCCCACAAGTTTGCTGCGCTAACCCTCGGTTACTTAATATTCAGTTATACGATTTGTGGTCGGCGGCATAAAGTTCAAAATTAGGTACAATATAAACAATCGCACCGAAATAATAAATATAAAAGCAATTAAAGGTTTTCCAATAATAGCTCCTAAAATTAAAAACTTAAGCCCGAAATGGTTTATTTTTTCTATTGGAAAGTTAAATATTTTAAACACGTGCTCGTCATATGTGTTATGTGTTGTTATAGTGGAATTCATAATAGTTTACTAAAAGCATTGCTTGGACTTTACTATTTATTACGGCATTTTTATGTCATTTACTCCTTGAACCTAATTTCAGACCACCTGCGTATAACGCCACCGTATCCACCCAATTTTGTACTGTTTCTCCGCCATAGATAGTTATGTCTCGTCAAAATCTTATATTATCATTATGTTCCTTGACTTGAAAATTTTCTCAAAAAATCTAACGGACTAATAATATTTACTTGAATAAAGCTCATTCAAACACTTGACTTTCAATAAGCCAAAATTAATTAGTTCATAAACCTCTGCATAATAATCTCATAACCTTATCAAAAAACTTATATTAACGTTCAATTAATATTTAATTATATACACAAGTTACCTGAGGGTATAAATTATTGCATTGCCGATATATGGGTACTTAAACTTAAACCCCAAACACTTTATACTAATCTGTTTTCGCTTGCAGTAGGTAAATGGTCCAAGAGTTGCCTTTCTTGGTGATCCTTTTTGGTTCTAACACAAGTCCCGTGTTTTGAATTATCGACACAGGAAGTAAGAGTTGAAACTGTTGGAACGTGATAGTCTGGATGGAACATATCTCACTCTTAATAATAATTTTAGATTTGTCAACGTTAAATGGCAATACGGCAGTTGACGAACGTTGTGGCAAGGGAGACAACGAGTAGTCAGTCGAAACGAAGCAACGAGAAAGGACAGGCAACGCAGCGCGAGTTGCCAGCGTTATTCAGTTATTATTACAAATGTATACTTTAATAAACAAATTTTAAATAAATAAAATCAATAACATATATTAGTCATTGTACATCTCAGAAGTGGGATCAGTGTATCCAATAGTCTACAAAAGAGAGAAATAAAACGTAGCAGTGGTGCAATGGCGTAAAAGAGAGGAAGGTTTTTCAGCGATCCAAGGGTTGAGCAGCGCAAAACGGCACGAATTACAAAACGGCGCAACGGTAACGTCCCTTGTTCTGCAGAATTTTCAACGGAGCAGCAAATTCTGCGAAAGGCACCACAGCGAAATATCAACGTCTTACGAAATAAGACAAACGAAGTATTTGCAACGCGCGCAAATCAACAAACAGTACATTGGTTATCATACGTACAGCGTGCAAGTTCAGACACGCAACAACAAAGGACAGGCATTTTTGCACACAACGATTAAGCAGAAGAAAATGAGCAAGCTCGAACGTGCAACGCGAACTTCTCTGCTTATAAAATATCAACTGCGCTGCTACGAAGTTTTGAACCGAAGCGGCGAAACGACGCCAATTCAACGTCACTATATCAGCGAGTTAACGGATAAAATTTTAAGAGAAATACACACGCAACGTATTAGCGGGTGCAAGCATCTGGTTAGAAGAGAGAGCAAGGTACTCAAGAGTACAAACACAAGAAAGTAAAACGAAACATCAATATCGAGTACGAGTAAGGCGACGTTAGAAGAGCAACGGGTTAGAAGCTCAAAACAAAAGACGCAAGATGATCAAATTAAATACGCTAAAGGTCGTCAGTCAGCTTAATACACTTCTAAGAGCAAACGATTTACCACTGACGGGTACCAAGGCAATCAAGTTATCAAAACTGCAAGAGGTTCTAGGTGTCGACGAAGTAGACTCAATCGAGATTGAAGCTGAAAGTTCCAGTCCTACAAGTGATCTACAAGTGCAAATCAACAGTTTAAGAGAAGTTATCGCAGGTTTAACGTCAGATATGGCGGCGATCACCCAAAACACAACAGCGGTACCGAATAGGGAGGAAATTCAACAAGCTGCAATCAACAACGACTTAGAGTCACCAGGGTCAAGTGTATCAACTTGGGAATCAGCTCACGATTTAAGAAGACCAATACAGTTAGGGATGTCGATTCAGGATATGATAGGGATTATGCCTCAATTCGACCCAATAAAAGGTTCAACGTCAGCAACACAATTTATAACGCGAACTGAACAATTGCAACAATGCTACGGCTGGAAGGAAAACAGAGTTTTGATCGCAGTGCAACACAAAATGAAAGGCATGACCAAACGTTGGCTGGATGCACAATCAGTTTTTCAGACCTGGTCAGAATTTGTGTATGCATTTAAAGCGGATTTTCCAACAACGCACAAGGCAGCGGAGATTCATAAATTGCTTATGAAACGCAAACGTAAAAACGGCGAAGACTATGTAGAGTATTTTTACTCTATGCTAACCATAGGTAAGCAAGGTAGGGTGGATGACGTATCTATCAACATGCACATCATCAGCGGTCTAAATGATAGCGCACTAACTAAGCCATTAGCAACGATGAATTTTACAATGTGTATTGAACTATTGGTTGCATTAAAGAATTTATCAGCAATCAGTAGTGCATCGGTAATATCAATACCACCAAATCAGCCAACGAAGACCGAAATTAAATACAATGGGAAGTACACACAAATAAAGTGCTTCAATTGCAACGAGTTGGGCAGCCAAGTGCCCGCAACCACAACGGAAACTACGATGCACGATATGTTCAAAAATGGGTCTTGAAGCTAAAATATGCAGTAAAAAGGCATCCGTTGCAAATATTACCAATCACCAGGAAGACGACGGGGCTCCTCCAGTTATGAAAATAGTGAAGCTTAATGGGAATAAACTTGAAGCGTTCATATACGGGCAGCGTATGCTCGTTGATACGGGAAACGGCAGCCAAAAGGATGCAGACTCAGGAAGCTACCAGATGCTTCATGAGTTTCGGCGAGTCTAAAGTAAAGGTGACACGTCAGGTCAACGTAGTTGCAACAATCGACAACGTCAAACATGAAGTGACATTATACCTAGTTCAGGACGAGTTATTACTCTACGATATTTTAGTGGGTCAAGACGTTCTACAAAGTAACGGTTATCAAATGGTAAATGGAAAGGGGGTGCTACATCTACAAGAAGCTAAAAGAGTAGACCTTAACGTATCCAGCGATTTATCGGAGCAGGAACGAGGCAAGGCAATGAATATTTTGTTGACTTATAAAAATTGTTTTGCAGAAAGTATCAACCAAATCGGTAGATGCAACAATGCGCATATGACGATAAAAGTTACTGTACCAGGGCCTATTCTGGGCAAACGTTATCAAGTTCCGTTCTCACAGCCACCAATGTTGTCAAAGGTTTTAAAGGAACTGCTAGACAACGACATCATCAGTCCGAGTAATACACCACACGCACCACCTCTTAGTGAAGAAGTCCAACGGCGAAAGTCGAATGTGTATTGATTACCGAGCAATGAATGTCACTGTTAAGAAAAACTATGTAATGCCGATAGTCGAAGAGCAACTTTCACGATTATCGGGCAATAAGTTCTTTTCAACACTGGACATGACATCCGGTTACTATAAAGTACCAATGAACGAAGAATCAAAAAAATTCACAGCATTTTTAACACCTGAGGGATTGCTCGAGCATAACGTTATGCCTTTTGGGTTGGTAAACGCTCCCATGGTTTTCCAGGAAATTATTGGCCTTTTAATCAAGACACTTAAGCATCGGGACAAAGTGGTCAACTATGTAGATGAGCTCATCATAGCCACAAAAACGGTCGACGAAGGTATCGAGGTACTTCAAGAATTTCTTGAAGCCGTGAAAGCGTCAGGTCTTACGCTTAGACCATCCAAATGTACATTTTTAGCGTAGCATGTCCGTTTCCTGGGACATGATATAGACAGTAAAGGCATACGACCAGGGAAAATTAAAAACAAAGTAATTGAAGAGTTTCCGAAACCAACAACAACAAAAGCCCTTCGACAATTTCTGGGTATAACTGGTTACTTCCGGAAGTTTGTTAAAGGGTACAGCATTTTGGCACAACCATTGACATTGTTACTAAAGAAGAACGCAGAGTTTGTTTGGAATGAAGAACAAAACGACGCATTTGAAAAGCTTAAAAGTCTAATAACAACCAAGCCAGTCTTAACTATATATGACGCAACAAAAGCCCTCGAGGTGCACATGGATGCCAGTTCCGCAGGGTTATCCGGAGTGCTAATGCAGAACGACGAGGGGTCCGAGTGGAAACCTGTATTTTATTTCAGCAGACAGTGTAATGACGCAGAACGCAAATACGCCAGCCACGAATTAGAAGTTCTGGCGATAGTTGAAACACTGCAACCGCGCAGGTTCAAGGAATACGTTAGCTGATGGGTTAAGCAGATGTCCAACGCTTCCACCAGTAGAACCAACAAGGATCGCCGAATCAATTTATCCCGTAGTGAAAATTGACAACGATTGGATATCGGCGATGCAAAGACAAGACGAGACATTAAAAGAAATCATCGAAGTTTTTAACGGCAAAGAAGCAACTGAAAGATGACTATATATGGCAAGGTCAGCGGTTATATCGCAAAGTACAGGAAAACATCGTATGCGACCGTATGTGAAATCCTATATTGCATCGTGTCCAGAATGTTGCATTAACAAGGCATCGGGTGGGAAGAAGGAAGCACAGCTCCATGTTAGCGAAGTGATGCTACTACCATTTAGATGCATACATGTTGACCATGTAGGGTCTTTTATACGAAGTAAACATAGCAATGTATACATCTTGGTCATGGTGTGTGCTTTTACGAAATATGTTATACTAAAAGCATTACGTAATACGAAAACAACTCCCGTTGTTAGTACACTACGAGATTACATTACAATCTATGGGTGCTCGAGGCAAATAGTTTCCGACAGAGGCACGGCTTTCACATCAAAGGAGTTTCAGAGCTTCACCGACAGGTATGACATCAAGCATGTCAAAGTAGCAGTGCGCACACCCCGCGCCAACGGTCAGGGCGAGCGTGTCAATAAAACAATTTTGGCATCACTCAAATGCAGCATTAAAGCCGATAAAGAATGGGGCGAAGCACTACCACAACTTCAATGGAGCATAAACTACCAAAGCAACGCAACTACGAAACAAAGCCCCAATAGCTTAGTTTTCAATTATAAGCCACGCGAAGTCACAACGAATCGATTAATCCAAGCTATCACAGACGACGACGACGAAAACACTCAACATGAAGACTTCCGACTGAAATCAGCGGCCGAACGAATTAACTTAGAAAGGGCTAAATGGAAACAACGTTTCGACATCAAACATCATAAACCCAGATAGTATAACGAAGGAGATCTGGTAGTAATCGATTACGTACCTCCTCCAACTGGTACATCTCATAAGCTCGATCCGTCATACAAAGGTCCGTATTTGGTAACGAAGGTTTTACCCAACGATCGTTATGTGGTAGAAGATCTACCAGATATACCGAACCAGCGAAAGCGCTACGTAGGAATATTTACGAATGACAACATGAAGCCATGGTGCGCTTTGAGTATGACTGATGACGATTACGAAACAAAATGTTCATTTAAGAGCATCAACGACGACGCCCACGGAAATCGTCCCGGAGAGACGATCCATCAGGAGTGGCCGAGCTGTCAACGTTAGATGGCAATACGTTAGCTGACGAACGTTGTGGCAAGGGAAACAACGAGTAGTCAATCGAAACGAAGCAACGAGAAAGGACAGGAACGCAGCGCGAGTTGCCAGCGTTATTCAGTTATTAACACAAATGTATACTTTAATAAATATTAGTCATTTTACAAATTTTACAACAACAATAACGATATTCAATTAAACTCCTTAGGAAGGAGCATTTAGATATATTTTAATCAGACTTACTTCCTTTTATAATAACTCGATTTAATATATGCTAGTTGATGCTTAGATTCGATACTCTCCAAAGTTTGACCTGTTCCTCTCCTGTCTCTTAAATTTTTTTTTTAAATACACATGGTGCTGGTCTGATAAAAAAACACAAGGTGATGTTTTTGATCCTCATTTTACCTTAAGAGGGTGTATTAAGTTTGCCACGAAATTGGTAATACCCAGCAGGAAAAGTTGGATACCTTATATAATATAATATTTACATAAATGATCAGCATGATGAACTGAATCAATTTAGCCTAAGTCCTTCAGATATCGTTCTAAAATTTTGCTCACATCGGTTTCTCTTCAAGAAGCTACTCATTTGTCTGAACTGCTAATAAGTGCTTGCACGAAAAACTTTCTGACTTGACGGGATATCGGTACCACATTTGGCGTGGCGTATTCCTAAAGGCAACGAAAAGCTCCGAAGAAATTGCTCAGACCAAGTCACTATAGCATATAGCTGCCATACAAACTTAATGATCGGAATCCAGTTCTTGTATCGAACACTCTTTCATTTGACGAGGTATCTTCACAAAATTTAGCATGGATTATTACTTAAGGCAATAATGCAATCTCCGAAGAAATTGTTTAGACCACTATAGCATATAGTTGCCATACAAACTGACATTGAAAAATCAAGTTCTTGTAAAAAGCCTTTGTACTTGAGAAGGGTACTATAGTTTCTGTGCAACCGTAATTAACCTTTTTTCTTAAATAGATACTTCCGCCAGAAGCTTGCGACAAACGGATATACCAGTGGATGTGAAATGCACAAACTTTGCTGCCAAAGTGACAAAGAGCATAACTAATGAACATATAATATTTGTTTCGTACATCAAAAAAAAATCTGGAAAAGGTTTTGCCAATTTAGTTAAAATAGTCAAAAACAACCAAACGAAGTGGGAAAATGTTGATCTGCGTGTAATTGGTGTGCATAAGCAAACGCGCCGTTTGAGTCCAATCGCGCCCAAATGCAAAGTAGCACACACACATACATAGTTCATATGAATGTATGTACAGTAACGACAGAGTCGCATAAACAGGCTGGTCTTCAACGCATAAACACAAATACAGGAGCGAATGCAAATATTTGTAGGTCCATGTGTGGTGGAAAAGGGTATGACACGATGAAATTAATGAAATATTAAGGAAAAAGCAAAGCATGCTGCACACCACCACCTACGCAAAAACACAACAACACGAAATGAGTGCAACAGTATTGCCCACGGCTGTACTACTATCACACATAACGGCTTGCCTTGCAGCAAATATTTATATTAGGTCAAGTAAAAACTTCGCTCGGTTTTTTATTGATTTTTCAAAAGAATATAACTTTGTATACATTTGTCCGATTTAAGTCAAAGTCGTAAACTTGTTGGCAACGAGTAGAAGGCTGCGTTCCTATTGGCAAAAAACTCGGAGAGCCAATTTTCACAGGCCTCTCTTGAGACCTACTTCTCCCCAATAAGCGCGTTCGTCATGGACAGGAAAAGATGGTAATCACTTGCTGCCAGGTCCGGACTATAAGGTGAGTGCATTAGGACTTCCCATCTGAGCTCCCGGAGCTTCTGGCGCGTCACCAAAAACGTGTGTGGCCTGGCGTTGTCCTGATAAAACACAATTCGGCCTCTGTTGATCAAAGATGGCCTCTTCTAAAGTGCTGCCTTCAAGAGGTTCAGTTGTTGACAGTAGAGGGCCAAATTGAGCCTTTGGCTATAGGGGAGCATCTCGTAGTAGATGATTCCTTGCCAATCTCACCAAACACACAGCAAAACCTTCCCGGCCGTCCATCCGGTCTTGGCCACCGTCTGGGCCGCTATTCCGAGCTTTGACCACGACCGTTTGCACTCGATGTTGTCGTAAGTGACCCATTTTTCATCGCCAGTCCCAATCCGCTTCAGAAACGGGTCGATTTTGTTGCGATTGAGCAGCGATTCGCAGATGGAAATTCGGTCCATCACATCGGATTCTTTTTGAATCCAAGGTTATCCAAATGGTTCTAAACGGTTTTCTGGCTTATGTTTAGTTCCTCAGCAATTAAATAAGTGCTCACGTGACGGTCTGTTTCCACTATTTCCATGATTTTATCGCAATTTTCGATGACAGTTCTCCCGACGCGTGGTGCATCTTTGACATCGAAATTACCGGAATGGAACCTAGCAAACCACTTTTGTGCTACACGTTCGTTTACAGTATCGGGTCCACAAATTATATAATCAACTAGTATTATTTCGCGTCGTGTTTATCTGTGGCATTTCGCGTCGTTTTCAGTAGATGTCATTTGTTTTAGCGTGAACAACAATTTGTTTCATTCATTTGAAAATGTTGAAATTTGTACCAGATAAAGTGTTTTTGCGGGAAGTCATTACTTTAACATGAAGAAAAGTGCTACCGAAAGCCATCGTATTTTACTTATTACATCGAGAAGCTTTGAAATTGGGTGCCTTATGAATTAAAGCCAAGAGACGTCGAACGTCGATTTTGTATGTCGGAAATGTTGCTTCAACGCCACCAAAAGAAGTA